CTCTCCATGCCAGCAGGCGGCGGTAGTCCGTTGTTATGATACGAGAAGACCATTTTACAACGCTGTCGGTCACCACTCATGTTAAAGGTAGCCTACTAATGGAGAATAATGTCTGATAAAAAGTTGAAAATGGCGCTGGCGTTGTCAGCCCTTTGTCTCTTAGTGGAAAAAGAAAAGAAGAGGCGGAGGAGACAAATAAGGAGAAACCGCACTAATGGGTGAAAGCATGCTCAAGGGGTTTTCCTGAACCTGTGTGAGAGCTGGAGAGAAATGAAACCTCCAAACAGCCAATCAGAGAGATTCCTCTCACTGACCACCCCGACCGGTTCAACATGTTGAATCAGCAGAAAAAAGGCAGATGGGGGCCGACGGGTAGCGATGAAGCTGGACACACTGCAAAAACTAGGACGATGACCGATGATGTCCTTGGTGTGTCGGGGGCCTTTAGTCCTCCAAGCGGGCGGCTGGGGTTTGAATCTGACCTCCTTGACCTCCTGTCTCCTTTCCTGCACTTCATTCCTCACTCCCTGTCTCTCTCTCTCTCTCCCCGATTTCTGACTCTATCCACTGTCATAACTTTAAGTAACCCCCCCCAAAAAAACAACTTAAAAACGTAGAATCTATCAGATCTATCAGCACAAGCTCACTCCATCCTAACACTGTGACTTTAAACCCTCGATCCGTCAGTCGTTCTCCTTTTCTGATTCAGTTTAGCAAATCACACTAAATTTCTCTATCAGCACAACTGAATCTAATAACGGAATCAGTGACTCATGTTTTCATTCCTTCTGTCAGCATCTGTGATGAGACAACATCACATTTCCACATCGTAGGAGGATATCAAAGAGAATCTCCTCATCATTTACGGCCCACCATGATGTTCAATGCACTGTCTGACTCAGCAACAACAGCACCACAGCTCTGTGCACCCGGCTTTTTATCACATCGACTAAATTTGACGTACTTTGTGTACGACCGCCTTCAGATGGCAGCAGAGCAGGATTTAACAAAAGTTTGAACAACATCTTGCTCAAAAGGTATGACGCTATGTGTAAGCAACACACACACAGGAGCACAGACCACTCCTAAAAGTGCTTGAAGACACGTCGGGACAGCAGCTTCATTGTGCTTATCATTTCTTCCAATGGTCTGCACAGATGAGATTTTGCTTAGAGCAGGCGCGAAAAACTCAGTGAGCGATGTGTGTAAAATATTAAAGGTTCCCAACGCTGACTGATTCATTCTGCCCTCTATTTCAGTCATCCTCGCACTATTCCATCTCAGCTAGTTTTGAGGTTTGTGGTCACTTTAAGTCAGTTTAGAGACTCCTCCAGTGCTGTGTGTGCAACAACACAGATAAGAGATAAAAGTGCAACACAACCCCCACAGCCACTTCCACATCTTCAACACTTAGTCCTCGACTCCCTACAAAACTTCCCAGGAAACGGTTACTGTTCTTGTTTGCTAAGTTACAACTCCTGTGACCTTTTCATATCGTCATTCATGTAACCATTTCCCCCACTCTCACTCAGTCCCTCTGCTTCTCTCTTATACTCACCTCGACCAGCTGTTCTACATCGTCCTGTGGCCTGTCGTCCAGATGAGGACACCAGCAGACCTCTGGCAACCTTTTTCCAAACACTCTGCTTCCCTCTGTTTCCCAACAACTTGATAATAACACAGAACTGGTTTAACTGCTTCAATAAAAACTTTAGTCTCTGATTTGTGTCGGGGGCCTCTGCTCACTGAAAAGGCAGCTCTGACTTTGCTGACCCTGCCCCCCAGCCTGTAATCTTAAGCCCACATCCGTCCCTCTGACCCTCGACCTCTTGCCTTTCACAGCAAATCATGTGACCGACCTAACGTTTCAAAGCTTTCTGCTGCCAGTATTCTCCTCCTCCTGTACCATCCTCCAGCCTGGTTAAATGAAGAATCAACCTGTCGCCTCTTCTTTTAAAATCGAGCCTCTGAGAGAAGATATGATGGGCCGACATACATCTCATGGAGGAGCAGCAGAGACGACCTTGTCTAATTTTGAGGGTCTAATGACGATCCTCGCTGTGCCAAAACTGTGAAGTCCTCTTTCCATCCCTGAACCTAATTAAGGACGATGACTCAGACTAAATCCCTGAAGTTTAAAAGACCCAAAAAGATGACAGGAAACTCATAGTTCATGGCTCCAGAGAGAGACATGCCATCAGTGTCTTCAGGAGTTATAACAGAGAGAATAATCAGCTCGAGAGGAAAATCCATTCAGTTCATAACTCACTCACCAACAGTGTTATGAAAAACATACCTAAAAATAGGGAGGCGACGATAAACTCTATAACAATTACCTGAAATATTCTAATGTAGAAATGAGATTGAAGTCAATTCATGAAAAATTTTGATTCTTTAATTTTAATTCTATGACAACAAATATAAGTACTGTAAAATCCAAGTATGAGACAAACAATTCTATAATTCATTAAGGAGACGCTAAGTGAGAAACATCAGAGAGTAAGAACACAAGTGAAGATCTAGAGAGGAACACAACGTCAGGAAGTGTAAAGGATCAGCTTTAAGACCGATCAGACTCACAGGTGCTGACAGGAAGTGACCCGAGGCAGAGCACAGGTGCTGACAGGAAGTGACCCGAGGCAGAGCACAGGTGCTGACAGGAAGTGACCCGAGGCAGAGCACAGGTGCTGACAGGAAGTGACCCGAGGCAGAGCAAAGTAATATATAGTGTCATCATCAACAACATCATGGACAGCTGTTCTTGAGGGCTTTAATCATCATCATCATGTATCTGTATCTTATATACGGGTGAAACCATTATACCAGTATCAAATGCTAAGTCATGCGTTGTAGTGACCACAAGTGCAGCCACTACCATCACCCCCTGCACGCTGGTGGCGCCACTTTTTAACACCTTATCCCCCCGATGAGGTCATAGTCCTGCATTATGAGAAAACGCTGGTACACTGTTCAGTAAATAAACTTGTTTAAAGAGCTGGTTAAAGACAACAAGTGACCAGCGGAGGTGTGCAGTATGACTCTGATCATGGTCATGATCCATAACGAAAATACCTTTTTCATATATTTAAATATGAGATATTGAATGTGGAAACAAATGTCATTTCTAATAAATCTATGTATTGCTCAAATAGGGGAAATCTCTTCAGAGTTGCAGCCAGTTTTTTTTTTTTCTGGCATTGAAACAGAAAAGCTTTTTAAAGGATTTTTCTCTAAAGCCGATTTGGTGTCACCTTATTCAAGTTTTCATTCCCTTCCTCAAATGTTGGGTCAATACAACTGGCTTTAATGTAGTAATCAATCGGCCTAAATCCTTCCAACACATTGCACGCAGTAATTTACCGAGCTCTTGCACTCTATTGGGCATGCAGGGTCTCCAATCGGCTTCCTGGAGGAAGTGATTAGCTTTGAAGCGTGGCGGCGTCCTGCAGTTTGTGTATTTATTTATTTAATTATTTAAGATTTATTTTTGGGCTTTTTGTTCCTTTAATGGAGAGATAGGACAGTGGATAGAGTTGGAAATCAGGGAGAAAGAGTGGGGAATGACATGCGGGAAAGGAGCCACAAGTGGGATACGAACCTGGGCCGCCCGCTTGGAGGACAATGGCCTCCATACATGTATATCATTGGTCTCTTGCAATATTTAAAAAGTTTGTTCTTGTCCATTCTCTGCTCAGCTCCTGCTTTGAAACCTCTTCATCTTCCTCTCTTCTTTAGCTACTGACGTCAAACTAGCGCCCTCTGAAATAGAGTATTGCTAGATTATTTTCCCGTCTCAATCATTTCAGATACTCATTTTAAAAGTTTTGGTATTGCAAAGTATAGTTATGTTTTTATTTACAAATGAGTTCTCCAAACTTAAATCCTGAGAGGAGAAAAGTCGAGTGCTAATCTGAGGAGTGAACATGAGAGGAATGCAGGCCGGGTTTGGTATTAGGGAGTATTTGTGTGTGTGTGCGCGTGTGCGCGTGTGCGCGTGTGCGCGTGTGTGCGTGTGCGTGTGTGTGTGCGTGTGTCAGGGTGAATCGAGGTAAAGCCTGCACACTGCACAGCTCCAGCTCAGGGAGTGACCGTTATCATCCTGGCCCATGCAAATAGCACAACAATGGCGAGCAGCAGAGTTCAGTCATGCGGCCTCTTGTGAGTCAATGTGGCTGATAACGTGCCTCCCCGCGGACACCCGGCTTTCCACTCACTGAAGACCTATTGTGCCAAGGTGAAAGGGCTAATAAGAGGGAATGCAAACGCTAATGAGTTTTCATTCAGCCGTGATCAGGTGTGTTTACATTTAGTTAATAGAGCAGTCAGGACTTTAAGAAGCTTTAATCAGCTTGTATCTCTGATCAACGTGATGAAACATGGTAGCACAGACTGAAGATGCGGAAATAATGTGGTTTGTTATGAACACTTACAAACACAGCTGGTTTTCACCGTTATCTCTGCTTAGAATTTTGTCCTAAATCTAAGTTACTGCCTGCGGATGTTATGAAAGCTTCAGTGCATTTTGCACACACATTTAAAATCATGATCATCACCACTTCATAAAACGTACGACTCTCTGCAGGGTGTTCAATTCAACTGTCTTGGCTTGGGTTTTTTTTCATTCAGAATGTGGCATCTTGTTAACGTGATGGAAAAGGTCACATTGGAATTTCTTTGTCTCGAACGTTGCTTAAATTAGACTTTTTTAAGTAAAATTGATACAGCTGACCTTTCACTGCGATTAGCACGCACAATACAGACAGTCCAAATCACACACCACAATGAACTCATCACGTTGAGAGGGAACGCATCACGCTTGGCTGATTGACAGCAGGAGAAAATCCCACACGTACTGTACTGTATGCCATTACAGAGAAACACTGACTAGTCTGTATTTTTATACAAAATTCTAGAGAGTCACACCTTAAGGTGAGACGATGTGTGAGGAAGTGAGAAAACAGAAGAAGTTCTTCACAAAGGAGTGAAAGAAGGATACTCACAAGTGGTGAAGCTCAAAGGTCCATCTTCAGACATGTATCGAAATCTATTTTAAAGGCTGTTCACTCTCTTTATCCAATCAACACACTCCTCTCACCCGCAGTCTGAGCATATCTGCGCTGACTCTGTTGACCACCTGCTTCAACTCTGTGCTCAAGAGTCTGACTCTTTTTTTACCCTGCTGCTTTTTTGTGTCCCCTGTTCCCTCCTCTCTCATTTAACCCACCTCCTTTGCATCCCTCCCATTATTCTGCCTCCCTCCCTCCCTCCCTCCGTCTCGCTCCTCTGTGCCTCAGCCTGCAAGGTGGCAATTGGGAAAATCCCAAAGCACTTGAGGAATCCTGCCGATTTCTGTCTGCCTGTGTCGCTCTGAAAAAAATGAATCGTTTCAGTTTTGCCCTTAAGGTTTTGTCGGGATATTGAGACGAAAGCTAAAAATGTGACCTCAGATAAAGCTCAGCAACACAAACACACACACACACACACACACACACACTCACCTGTGCCGTATAATGGGAGCACCACAGGCAGTTAGGAGACAAAGAATGAACTGATATCATCTCACAACCCCACACCGAGGCCACTCCCCCATCTCTTCTTTCTCACTATCTATAACCACTCCCTAAAAGTTCTGTATTATACCCCCTGACCCAGTATCATGTTCAGCTGCCTATCAGAGCAGGGGCCGCTCTCCTCCCTCTCTCATTACCTTCCTCCTTGCAGCCCGGTCGTTAAGCTCACACTCCTGCTTGACCGCTTGTCCATGGACTGCTTTAACCCTTTTCTCGGTTCAACAGCTCAGCCGAGAATAAGCCTATTTGAATAGACACGCACAGAAAAACACCCACAAATGCTCGCGTGCATACACACACAAAAACACCATCACTCCAGCCCTGCCTGTCTGCCATATCTGTACCCCACGCCTGGAGGCCAAGAGCAGCCCTCTATGGAAAAGCTTTTAATTTGATAACACTGAGAGGAAGGGGGGGGGAAGAGGAGCGGAGGGAGATCTAAAGTGTGTTGGGTGGTTGTGGTTGGGTGGAGGACGTGAGGGTGTGTTGAGTAATGTCATTAGACTACGGCTGGCTTTAAGGAATCTCCATTTGTGGAGCCTGGAGGCAGATCAATATGAAGACAGAGTGCGGAGAACGGCTGGCAGCACTTCGCTGCAACAGGAGCGGCCTGCCTGGAATTAAGAGAATTCTGAAAATCCCATTTTGGAGAAAGGCCGGGTCTTCACTCACTCAGCTTCAATCTCCGAGTCGAGACTTATTAAAATGCCATAGCGGTCAAAAATTGTTTGTTCAAGTGACATAATAAGCATAGAACACTAACAAAGGCTTCCCCAGATATAAAGCTTTTTTTTTTTCTCCGTGTTTGGCTATTACCCAACCCAAGTACAAACACACTCTCCAAGCCACATAATCAACTACAAACTGAAACACCAGCTGAGTTATCATCATGTCAGCCAGGGAACAGTATGGAAGGAAGAATAATGAGGTATACAGTGAAGAAATGAGGCTCCAGCCAAAAGCCCCCAAAGCCTCGAGTTCCACACATACCAGACACGTACTTCCCCAGCGAGCTGACGGCTCGTCCTGCTAACAGCTCAACAGCTTCAACCCAAAATTAAATGAAAAGGCAGCAAAATCTTTTTACCACATCTTGACAAACAACGGTGACCTTTTTGATACACCGTGTTAAAATAATATTTTAATGATCAATAGCATCAAAATAAGTACTAAAACTTAAAAAAAAAAAAAATACAGATCTTCAGTCATAATTTGACTCAAGAGTTGGAGTGAGACAGAGAAGGCAGCGAGGATCCATCCATCACATGTTGACCAATACTGACATTTTTCTCAAGTCCTGTTGGTGTCTAAAAAAATGCACAAATATGTAGGCAACATTTCTGTCCTGAAATATTGACAATGTATTTGTGCAATTTAGACAGTGTGAAGAAGTTAGGTCCTGTGTTCACCGAGCGTTTTTTCCAGGCAGAAAAGCAGTGGCTGTACGCTGCATGTCAGCCCTGTCTCTATGGCAACAGTCTGTTGACAACGGCCGCTGAAAGACCGACACTGCTCTGTTACTTTTTGCTGCATGTTTTATATTTAAAATATTTTTTTACCCAATCAGTCACGGTGCGAAGAGGATGTTGGTACGAGATAAAATACGGGGAATATCATACATTTTGAAAAGAGCTCCGGTGACGTCAACAGTGCTTTTCTGAAAATTTGAAAGATTTTCAACTTTCATCTTTTCATCCAGACGGCTGCTTTCTGCTGCGAACGCTATCTGCCCACGCTCAGAATAAAACCCTTAGTTTGCAATTTCTAGCAATTAAAAAAAACGGTAGCCTGGGACTTTTGTTTTTGTTGCCGTGGTAACAGAAACCCTAGCTGCAACACGTTTTCTGTTGTTTACATGGGGTGTGTGTGCATGACTACAGCTTCACTAAAGATGCATTTTGTACTGTGCAGGCAAAGACGGTTTTAATTCCATGGTAGCCCTTTTCCACAAAGCTCGGCTCCTCCGACACCGGCCAAACCCAACATGGCCATAAAAAGCTACGACACGCTGCTCGCTGCTTTGATAAAACCAAGGGAACCATAAGAGTGCATCAGGAATAGAACTCAAGGGTCAAATACTCCTGGCATAGCAGCAGAGACCCAATAAAGCCTAAATGTCACCCACATTATACAGAGCACGAAGGGACGGGATGGAAGAGGATCAATCACAGCAAATTAACCTTTAAGTTAACATGTGAGGCCGACGCCTAAACACAGAGCGTCTATACAGCTTTTAACATGTAGCCCCTTCAGGATCAGCACTTCTTCAATGAGCATCTCACAGCAGCAGACAGATAAGATTCTCCAGGAGTTATCTATCTATTCCAGGACGTTACAGAGATACCTTGTGTGTTGCACTTACAAACGGCCATCTGTTGCACCCTGCCGTACAGTCACAGCTGCCTCAGGATCATAAATTATGAAAATTCAATTATGAAGCGATCCGTAGAGGAGCCCACGATGTTACAAAGATACATTATACTTAACACAAGGGCTGCTTTCCTTTTTAACAAATCTCAAATCAACTGTTTAACAAAGTTAACGTTTGTCCTTCTAGCTTTATTCCGGTGTTTAAACACACAGCAGATACACACATGCAGCTTCAAAATGTTCTTTTATTGGCCAGGCCTCCTTAAAATGTGGCTCTGCATAGCAAGGTTTTCAGATGGCTGCTTTCAAAGTCAATCTAGAACATTTTGATTAAAGCAACATGAGGGGTTTTTTCGGACCAAACAGTTATGGCGACCTTATCCACTATAGGGAGTTCCCTGAAAACCACACACCAGAGCATGGCTCGGGCCCAAAGAATCCAGCCCAAACCCAACCCAACCCAGCCCGTGCACATCCTCTCCAACCGGAAACCGGTCCGTCTCGATGACTGTATTTCAGGGACCCAGTCTAAAGGACAGAAATCTGTTCAGGTGAGATCTTAAGGCCCTGACACACCAAGGAGACTAGGACCGACAGTGAGCGATCGTCGCCCTATAGTGAGTCACCCCGTTTGCTTTTTTTTGGCCAATTCGACATGTTGAATAAGCGTTTTTTCGGCGTCAGCGTGGTTGGTGAGAGGAATCACTCTGATTGGCTTTTCAGCTAAGCGAAACAGTACACGAGAAGAAAAACAACTTTTTAATCAGACATTCTGGATTAGAAGAACCTACTGTATATTACGAGTGGTTCCTAACTGGTCTCTGCACTTCCTCCTTCAGATACTTTGCTAACAAAGACTGCTTCCCTGTGGCCGGACAGCTTCTTAGAAAAGACAAGTCCTCGCAGGAACAATACTCAGAAAGATATGTTCATCTAGAACTCACTTTTAAAATTACTCATTGTCTTCAGGAGGAGCTTTCGTTTTTGTGGTTCTTCTGAGCAGTCAACATCAAGTCAACGTGTTTCAAAGGATAAACAGACTGTGATATTCCTGTCAAATCAATTATGAGGCTAACCAGACAGAAAATAGGGAAGTCTGGTTGATCCTGTATCACTTAATCAATATTCAACAATCAATTCCGGCCTCTCTTACACTTCATTCAGCCGGTCAAATAGTTCATTTTCATCATTTGTCCTGAAATAAATACAGCTGCAACTTGAGGAGAGTGTATGATCTGACTAAAGTCTGAATTCAGTGTTTTAGTTTAAAGAAGATAAAACATCTCCGTCCATTATGAGTTCATATAAAGGCAGGACAAAGATCTCTACAGTCTCATTCAATCAGACTGAAATACTCTATCCCATCGAGGGAATGCATATTTTAAATCAGTTTAATGCTCTTACATTACGATGTTAACATACCGCATAGATCGGGCCCAAAGAATCCACTGAGCCCGTGCACGGTCTCCCTGCCCCGTCTCACTAACTGTATTTGTGGGACCGAGTCTGATTGGAACCAGCCAATGAGCGCTACCGGGATGCATGTATTTAAAAATCAGCGCCATTAGGTTATAAGGAAAACATGGAATGATACAAACTATTTTTACAAACTCTCTGCTCATCTCCCGGGCTGTTTGGTGTTTCTTAGCAGTGATTTATCACTGCTGGTGTTTCTTTACTTTAAGCTTTAGATCCCCATGAGTCTGTGTCTCTGTGTTGTTGCTTCTGCTCCCGAGCGTGTCTGCCCACGTCCCTGTCTTGCTTTCTGACCCTCCGCCTGGTTCCGAACCTGTCTTCTGCCTAACAAGGACTGCCTCTCTGTACGTCCCCTGTGCAGCTGTTTCCCTGAGTTGAACTTTGTGTGTCCTGTTCGACATTCACCTAAACACAGACTGCTTCTCTGTTGCCAAACCTAAAGCTTCATGGACCATGTCCCCTGTGCAGCTGCTACACAGTACCTTTTCCCTGGGTTGAACTTTGTGTGTCCTGTTCTACATTCATCTGTTTCTGGCCCGAGGAATGGAAAGGGGGATCCTGGACTAACCCAGCTTGGGTCGGCGGGCGGAGTCGGACCAGGCTCGAACTCAGGCTAAGGCATAGAATCTAACCTGTAAGCTGAATCAGAGAATAGGGTCATTTAGTCAGGTCTAATAAACACTGTAGGGTTTGTTGTTGACTGAACGAATGAGACATAATTGAAGTATGTCTTTGTTT